ATACAAATTGGTTAAGGTATTGAAAAGTTTTATTAGAAGCACTTTTTTGTTTACTATGTAAAAATTCAATATACTACGTAGATCATATGAAAATTGATTTACGTACACTCTACTCTTAAATAACCATCCAATTCTAGATACAATTAAAAACAAACTTCCAAAATTTTCAGATTTAATAGTTAAGATATTTTATAGCTTTCTGTGTAGAGGCACACAGAAGCATACCGAAGCAGATCAAATAATTAAATATGGATATTATATTAATCAACTACATTCTAATATTAATAGGTTTGGAGAAATTTTCACGCGTATATCTAGTTGGGCAATGCAAGAGTATTCGGCACAAGATATAATAGTGTTGACTAAAAAAAGCACTTGTTTTCTTTTACAATGTTTTTTTGAAATTTATTCTCATTTTTATCATCAAAATTCATTAATATCTCTTTCTTTACAAACAGGTTTATCTTCTAAAAGAAAACGTGATGAAAATATTGAAACTATTCTATTAATCATAATGAAGATGCCAGAAGCACAACTATGCCACCTTCCTTTGGGTTTTAATACTTTGTGTAAACCAAATTCATCTTGCTACTATGATGCATCTAACTGTCTTTCTTTTTCTGTTAATATAGGTACTATTGAAGTTCTAGCATGTGGTTATACATATCATAAATTTTGTTATAACCACAATAAATCTAAATGTATACATTGCCTCTCATTCTTACAAGATAGCATTGATGAACACATTTAGTCCTTACTAGAAAGGCTGCAAAATCTTGATAATGGAAAGAAAAAAAATAAGGGAAAGAAAGTAATTAAAGAATTGGAAAAGAATACTCCTTGTGATGATGACGATAAAGTTGAACTTATAAATTATAGAGTACTTTTATTAGAGCAGGCATTACAAAAATTTCAAAGTTAATAAATAATAATTTGTATTATATTAAAATTTTAAATCTTTATTATAATAATTTTATTACAAAATAAATAAATAATAAATTACAAAATAAATTAAAATAAAATAAAATAAAATAAAAAAATAAAATGCAATATATTAATTTCACATATTGGTTCTTGTATAAGAATACAACGAGATTTAAATTTTAATGAAGTAATCTATAAAATAAAGTAAAATAATTAAATTAAATTAAATTAATTAAACTAATTTAAAAAATGAAATACAATATATTAATTTTGCATATTAATTCGTAAGAATGCAATGAGATCTAAAGATCTAACAAAGTAATCTCTTTCATCAAAACTTACAGTAAAGCCTCTTGTTCACCTTTTAGTAGACTATTTTTTGAAATTCAGACATACAGTATAGCGCTTATATATAAATAAAATAAAATAATTAAATTAAATTAAATTAAATTAAATTAAATTAAAAAAAAAATGCAATATCATATTGATTCGTAAGAATGCAATGAGATCTAAAGATCCAACAAAGTAATCCTACAGTAATATAGAAGAAGAAGATATTTAGATCCATTATTAGCATAAACAAATAGTAAATGCAAAGCCTTTTACCAAAACGTATAGTAGAGCCTTTTATTAACCTTTTAGTAGGCCTTTTTTTTTGAAATTCAGACATATATAGCACTTATATATAGCTATATATAAGGACTATTATATAATATATAGAGAAGTTCACTTCTAAGTGAAGTTTTTGGAGTTACTGATTATTTTTGATTATTTTTGCCTAGTAAATATAGACACTCTGCCAAAATGAAAAATGGCTTTTGCAGTGATTTTTACTTAGTAAAACATCAAGTTCTTAAAAAGTACTTTAAATTGTATTAATAAGTTACCTAGACAATTGATTTATATCAGCCAATCAAACGAATGTCCGACTATGAGGTTTGTCTACCATGCTGAGAGAGGTTTGTATAGCAAAATAGTGTGAGGAAAGCGAATTTTGGTTTTGATTTTCTTTACATTACACGTAACCCTGATTTTTAATTGGGTAACTAATATTGATCCTATTCCCCAGCCAAATCGGTAGCCTTGTCTAGGGCTAGTGCATATCTATGATAGAATAATATGTGCATAAATCTGATTTTTATTGCATAGCATATATAATTGCATATTTCGCATATCAGAACTATTTTTACATAATTAATAGAGCATAATCTGCACATAAACTAATACATAAACCAGCTGGTATTAAAATATAATACCATCGGATATTAGACACAAAACAACAAGCATGTTTGTCAAGATTATCAGAATTTATTTGGAGATTACAAAATTTTACAATCCTGGTGAGAACTCATACAAGGAGATCTCCAAAATTCCTGGTCTGAATGCATAGGGTCATTGGCCGGATAGGCCGAAATTGATCAATTTTGCCCAAGATCACTAAGAATTTTACTAATGAAACCATAGTTATTCATTAAGTAAAAAATGCCCAGCTGATAATTTTACTATAGCCTCTGCTAACTGGAATACTAACCCTAACCACGACGCATTCTAATGCATTCTGACCAGGAATTTTAGGGATCCCCTGTAAAAAATCCTGGAGAGTACATATTTTTGCATATTTGTATCTGAATCGCATAATTTGCAGCATAATTCGAAATATTTATCACATAATTTCGCATAAATCAAAATGTATTGCAGGCAGAATTTGGGGTCCATCGCAGCAGAACATGACTTGCCCTTGACTGAATCAGGATCTGCAGGCTGTTAGCAGTGTCGGGGGTGAAAACAGTAAATCTATCGCTAAGAGACCAAGAATCTTGCGTAATATTGGTTTTAGGTTTTAATAGAGGCGTGTATACGATTTGGCAAGTATCAATTTATTCTCTAAGGGTTTTGTTTATTTTTAAAAGACGAATTTACTAACACTTGATCTTTGCCTTTACTATAATTTCAGGTGTATAGAAGATGAGTTCTTTATTTATTTTTTTCTTTTTTTTTATACAATTTTATTTTCTAAGGCTAATTTTAATCATTCTTCTTTTTCTCTAGATCTTTTCCTACTATATTCTTAAATTCGATCATTCAATTTTAGAGTTTCAGTGGATTTGGTAAGTCTATGTTCTTCGTTTACTATTTTTAACTATCCCAACCTTTTTTCCCACTATTATTATTTACTCAATTATACAATTCTACAGGTTTCAGATAGTCTGGTTCTTCATTCTTCTATTTTTTTTATCTACTTTATTTTACTAACCTGTCTTCTATTTAACACCAACTTGCCACTATGAAACATTCTTTATCTGCTGTATTTTAGCAGTATGCCTGTCATATGATCGTATGGGACCCAGATATGCAGGTTTACACAATTTTAGGTTAATCATAAATGCCAAAGCCCAAGGCATCGTTGTTGTGCCATAATTGCAGATCATTTACTAATCTAGAACCTGATTATTATTTGAGTCACGTTTTAGGTAGTCACGATTTATTCTGCTCGTGACAATATAAAAGAACTGGGTAGAAAGCAATACCCCCATTAAACTGCGTAGATATCAAGATGCAAGTCTTAGTGAAAATACTGAGCAAAATGGTTATTGAGAACCAAGAAAGTGAAAGTTGTGTTTCAAGTATAAGTTGAGAAATGATCGTTATATAAGGTGAAACAAGTATAAGAAAGTAAAGAAAATGAAAAATAAAAATCATTTGGTGTCTTTGATTAAGAAGATAATTGAGTTAGTAATAAAAAAAGTTATAAATAACTTAAAAACAGTGCAATTAAAATATTGAAGATCTCAGTTGTGTTATAGCTATCAGAAACCAGATCACCTTGCTAGATCTTGTATACAAAAATGTCAAGTTGGTAATAGATGTATCAATGTGAGGTGGATAGATTTTGAAATTAATAGAGAAGGAATTGATCATGTGAAGAAAAAGAGTAAAATTAGTGATGGCATAAGAGGAACATTTGTAAAAATAAATAGAAAAGTGGCAGAAGCATCAATTAGATTTAGTTCAAGTGTAAACAAGATGAGTATTAAATATGTAAGGAAAAGAGGCCTTACCTGGAAATATATTAATTAGAATGACTGTATTGATCGTGATTTTGTTGGATATATCTCTGATATTAAGATTGATGTGTGTAGTGTTAGTGTATATCAAATATTTTATATTGTACATACTTTGACTCCTAATATAGGCCTTGGAATACTGTGTGTTGTAAAATCCAGCTATAATATTCAATAGAAAAATGGTCAGTGTATTATACAATTAAGTCAGGCCTTAAAAAAGCAATATTCATAAAAGAGGATCAATCTGCAAAAGATATAAAGGTAGTTAACAAAACAATGATAGAATAGAACATGATTTAGTGGATATTAGATATGTCAAAGATGAATTGATGAAAAGTAATGATATTGTGAGACCCAAAACCCGTAATCAATCACATGAAAAATGCATAAAATGTACGAAGTTCAAATAATGCCATTTATAATCGAAAACAGTATTTCAGATGTAAAGAGGTAGATAGAAAGTAAAGGAAGGATATACATACAAATTAACAATACTAGGGAAATAATTGAAAACAGTTTTAAATAGTTTTATAGAATATTAAATGTAAAGTCACATTTGTAAGTGCCAGAAATAATCAATATAAATAAAGGCCAAGATGGCCCATGAAGAGAGGATGCTCTGTCTTTGCTTTAGTATAAAAATAAGTCCACACCTTATACACTGTCCATAATATTACATTTATACTATACTCAGTATAAACCCTATAAACTCCATAAAAATCATTGTTTGTTTTAAGTTCTTGATCATGTGACTTTCCCAACTTGCCATCATTGACCCTGAGTAACCAAAAGCCTTAATCATCCACCAGCCAAATCTAACACACCTCTTTTGTAAGGTTACTTACTGCAGGATACATGACTTTTTGGATTGTGGAGTGACCAAGTCGCAATTATCCTGACTATAACAATATCGATAGTAAGAAAAATAATATCATTAATAAGTTGAATAAAAGGAAGTCAATTTAAATAAAAGACATGGATTCCAAGAACCTACTAGTGAAGCCCAATGGTAACAAGGATGAATCAAATGAATCAAAAGCTGTTAGAGCTAATAATGAAAAGAACGAATGTAAAACATTCATTCCTTGTCAAAGATCAGCTAATATGGATGATGCTGATGAAGCATCTACAACCAAACATTGCTATCATCATGAAGTTGGATTTGAAAAGAATGAACATCATGCATTCATTTATCTGAAATCTGCAAAGTTAGATGATGCAAATGAAAATGATGTTAAAAAGAATACGTATGAAGCATTCATTGGTCATGAAGAGTTGGATGATGCCAATCGAACAGGGATTAAAGATAAAAAGGTCGATTATGAAAAGGATGAACATAAGACAATTATTGATTACCAAAAATCTGAGGATATAAATGATACTGAAGAAATGATTAATGTTGAAAAACAAAATCAAAATAAAGAGTTAATGGTGTTGACGAAAGCACCACTGGATGTGGTTGCAAAAATGGATATGTTGATGGAAGGTTTGGTGGAAATGATGAGAAATTGGGGAAAATTGAATGGTGCTGATAAGTTCAACGTTAATGATAATGAGGGTGAAGCTGCAGATAGTAGAGCAAATAAACCTGGAAATTACCAACATGGGATTAAAAATGAAAAAGATGAGCAAAAGGCATCATCTGTTCATTGCTAAAGCCTTGGAGAAATGAGTTATAGTAGTGAAGCATGTGACCACAAGTGTTATGACAAAAATGAAAGATGTGTAAAATTAGAAGGAGTATATGTAAATCAGCCATGCGCTATACGAACAATAAATGGTATATTCAGAACTAGAGGCCCTGTGAACAATCCAACAAGATTGTGCGATTTGAGTAATGGAAGGGCCAATAATGTGTATTTAAAGTTTGAAAGTTCAATTTAAGGTACCTCACAGGGTATAGATGTTCAGAATCGATGTAAAAGTACAAAAGTTAAAATGTTGAATGCTCAGAAGCTTGATGGTTATAAGAACCTTGAGCAAGGTGTTGGTTGGAGTAAATAGGACACTGCAAGCTGTGGCAAAGTGAAGAGTCGAGGATTAATAAAATTGATGGGCCAACAAAGTCTAAGGCGTGATATAAAAGAAATCTATTTCTACGAGTGATTGTACTTGGATCAAATTGCTGGGTGTAATTCGGAGGAATTGGTTAGTGCATTATTTGGTAGTCATTTCAAAATAAGGAAACTTAGTAGAATAGATGTAACTTCAGGGATGAAGTTACTGGGGTTCTAGCTTGTGTTACGGTGCTATGTGGTACCCATATGATTAGTGATCGGGTACGTGTTGATTGAACATTGTGATCGGGGCTTGCATGAATGGCATGATCACGATTTAATTAAAAGTCTAAAATAGTGATTGCATAAACAATATAGTAATTAGCAATTAGTAATATTAGTGATTACATG